TGACAGAGCATGCGCTGTTACGCAAAAACCGCGATACAGTGAAGCCGCGGAAGTCGAAGCGCGAAGTGGCAAGGGTTCACTGTATACTTGATGGGTAGGCCACGTCATAGGCTTGTTCTTTTTCGAACGCCACACGTTCACTTTTTCTCCACATTACTTCCCAATAGTATAGACGTCCATCGATTGAGCCCACCTGTAAACAAAGACTCATTTTTGGGGCCTGTTGTATTGCGGCAATAGAATTCATAGAGCTCACCCTTTGGAAGTGCCTGGGTCTACGGGTCCTGGTGGGTGCACGGGGCTAGGAACGGTCAGCACTGTCTGCTTTGGAACTTCATCGCCCTGTCCCTCTGAGCAGTCGCTGCCCTCCCCCTACCCCTGGCAAACGCTGGTCCAGCTCCTGGCTCTCTCGGTTTGCCCACGCTGAACACTGCCCATACACGACATCATGCACTACGTGGCTGCCTTCACGTCACAGAATCTTTTCAAGACGAGTCCCTTGGCTCACGTCTGTCGGCACTTCGTTTATTTTTAGAGCCTGGCCTGAATGGACCACACAGTTTCCATCCCGCCATCCACCGAGGGCCTTGTAGGTTGCCTCCAGCCTTTGATAACGAACGATGCCGATGTGTATGCTTGTTGCGCACTGCTGGGTTTCCCATTGTCTTGGGTACGGACATCTACCTGCGAGTAGAACTGCCGGGCCCTGCGGTAATCCTAGGGGCCCACGTGGCGTAATGGGTCACATGTTGGCCGGGCGGCGTGAACCCACTAAGCCACGTCTCGGGAGATCCTGCCAAGATGTACAGGGATGGGTCTCCCCTGCCCTGCCCTCGGGGGTGGTTTGAATCAGAATCCACCCAGTGGCAGAAAGCTCGAGTTTGGGGCCTGGTGTAATTCTGTGTCTAGCGTTTTAAGGATGTGTCAAGCCGTTTTCCAGCCGCCATCATTTGTGAGCGTGTCAACGGGTCCTGAGGTGGAGAACCACTTGCCAAATGGGATTCGTGCAGACCCTCATCCTTGCTATAGGGTTGGGACCCCACCCCTTAAGTTCATCTCTCTCTCTCTCTCTCACACACACACCCCCTTCGTAGGAGATCAAAGAATGGGTTGCACCCTTGAAGACAACAACACCTACACGTTACCCCCTCAGCAGGTTCTAGAGCAGAGTCTCCACCCAGTTGCATGCTGGGAGGTGCCGTGCCCACTGTAGTCCCTGTGGCGGCTGCCCCCCGAGCTGGGCTGCAGCTGCCCTTCTGCCCTCCTCCCTGATCTCAAGTGCGCTGGGACCCGTCCTCAGGAACCTTCTGGGAAGCAGAGCCCAGGGAGGCCTTGCCTGCAAAGCTGAGAGTCGCCAGCTTCAGCCATCCATGCCCCTGGGGCCACCGCTCAAGGTCCCTCAGGCTTAGCAGCAGCAAAGGGGCTCACCAAGCTGTCTTGCCTTTTGCCCTGTGACCAGGGCCCCTCCTGCAAGGGGACATGCTAAGGAGAGCAGGCGCTTGCGAGGAAGTGGGGGTCAGGTGCCAGCTAAGTTCCCCAGCGACCAGGGCATGGCCCCTTCCCTCCTCTCTGTTTTGACGTCCTGCTAGTCGTGTCCACTCGTCGCTTGGCCACGTGCTCTGAGTAGCATCAGGGCCCCTTTGAGCGAGGGGCTGTGTGCCCGCTGCCTGTAGCCTCCTGGTGACGGGTTTTCAGGCATCGGTGAGGGTGACGTGTGCAGGCAGGTGGGAGATGTTTGGTGCTTTGATCTCAGACCCACCAGGTTTCCCTCCATGACCCTCTCATTCTTTGTCCTCGGCTTCACTGCAGATGTGACCCTTGGCCCTGGGCTGGGCACCCCGAGCCATGGCCGACACCATCTTCAGCAGTGGGAGCGACCAGTGGGTTTGCCCCAACGACCGGCAGCTTGCCCTGCGAGCCAAGTGAGTATCAACGAGGCCCAGCCGGAACACCCGCCTCCCTGCCCTCCCTTTCCCTGCCCTCCCTGCCCTGCTTCTCAGTGGGTTTCCGTGAAGCTCACGATCAGAGGCCAGAAAGAGACACTGGGAGACCTGTGGCTGGGCGCTCGCTCACTTAGGCACTGCGCGGAAAGAACCCCGTCCTGCAGACGAACCGAGTGAGCTCCGGCTGCCCAACGGCTTTCCCTGGTGACCCCAAGCCCAGCCCATAGGACCCCACAGCTGTTCTGTCTCTACCACAGCCGGCTGCCAGGGGCCCGCCACCTTGCTTGCCAATTATGGGAGCCAGCAGCTCCCAGTTGGGACCAAGTGGAAGAGATTTGCAATTAGGCCATTACGAGCCCGCAAGGAGTCAGGGCGGGAACATCAAAGGGGGATCGGAAAATGAATCCGAAACGCCCCCAAGGAGTGGAGTCGGGTGCAGTGTGCGGGCATCTCCACACCACACTTCGTTTGTGCCCCTCACCAGGAAGGCGGCTCCAGCCCCCC